CTATGATAAAACAATATCAAGATTACATAATACAGTTATAATAAAAATAGGTATCCTTAGTGCCAGGTTAGCAAGCTGTTAGTTAGATTGACCTTTTCAAATTATTGACTTTATCAATGAAACCCCTTCACTCACAAAACTGTTCAATGAGGAAGCTATATTGTAGAATTTATTTCCACATGGTTAATTTAGATTTATATCGTAGGCTTGAGTATAAAACAAATAAAAAATGGGCGGCTTAAGGAAGGGGACCACGACCCTATCCTAAGTGTCAAGGGTGATTATGCACGCTTCTGTACAACGTCTCGAAGTGGAATATTTATGTTCATACTTCCTACGCATTGACGGCGGGAGTACTATAATTGCAAAAAAGTATTTAATGCAAACTCCAAAAAGCTTATGGTTTCAAAAATGCGATCCTACTTGCAACCAGGATGGCGTCAAAGGATTAAATGCACAGAAAGCGACCTAGCTTCCAGTTTTGGTATTTTATGAAATCTTTGGTATAGTGACATACTAAGTGACATATAAATCCGAACACCCAGTTTAAATGGTTTTATTTTAATAAAATTTTGTATAACTACTTAATGAAGCATAATAAGTATATGATAAAAATTTCAAAATGATTGCACTGCTTTAAAGCCCTTTGACCTTTAATAATGTGTGGATGCACCCTGATGTGCTACACATTCTCCCACGCACCTAGGCATGCTTCTGATCAGGTGGTCAATGTCCTCCTGTGGTATCTCATTCCAGGCTACCACCAACTCCTCTCGAAGTGCTTCTAGAGTCTGAGGAGGACGTTGCAAATTGAGCAATCTCCTACCCATCATATCCCACACGTGCTCAATTGGGGATAAGTCGGGAGATCTTGGTGGCCATGGTAACAATGTGACATCATTATGTTGAAAGAAGTCTATTGTGACTCTTGCAACATGTGGTCGGGCATTATCTTGTTGGAAAGTTGGATCTGCCAGGGTGTCAAGATAGGGTAAAAGATGGGGTTCTAGAACTTCGTGGATATAACGCTGCGCGTTCATGTTACCTCTGATGAAGATTAAAGGTGACCTGGAACCATAAGCTATAGCACCCCAAACCATAACTCCAACAGTGTGATGAACATGTCTTTCAACAAAAAACTGTGGATTCCTCCTTTCACCACGACGCCTTCTAACCCTGGCACGACCATCGTGCATGCCTAAACAAAATCGAGACTCGTCACTAAAGACAATACTGTTCCATTCCTGATCCCAGAGTGACCGTTGTCTGCACCACTCAAGGCGATTACGTCGGTGTTCTCGAGTTAAAGGGAGGACCCAGTGTGGCCGGTATGAAAACAAGTCAAAACTTCTCATTTGTCGGTAAACACTTCGCATGCCAATAGGTCTTCCGTGTTCTGCCAACCATTCATTTGCAATGGACCTGGTAGTGGAGAAACGGTCCCTTAAGGCCAATAACCTTAGGCTGCGATCTTCATGGTCTGTTGTTCTACGGCGGCGTCCAGTGCCCCTTGCTCTTTGCGTACGGCCTTCTCGAAGCCATGCCTGATAACACCTAACCACCAGCTTCCCGAAGTCCCACTATACGGCCCCTATCAAACTCACTAAGTTGACGAAATCGTACAGGTCTCCGTACTCTAGGCATCGTAACCGATCGTAAAGGATGTCAAGAACCAAAATCCGCCAACGTTGATTCTTTACTGCGGCTGAAATATTCATTTTTAGAGCGTTAGTGAATTAAAAAAAAGCAGTATAAAAACCGGAATGTCCAACTGATAAGGCTGAAAATTTTTTCACCTCTTATTTACAGTAAGATAAATACATTCACCAACTTTTATTAAAATAAAACCATTTAAACTGGGTGTTCGTATTTATATGTCACTTAGTATATGTGCTTGAAGCTATAGTTTAGGGAAAGTATAAGTACATAACCTTGTAATATGGTAGTAAGGCATCAGCAATTATTAACGTAAAACTGCATCGAAACACGTATCATAAACCCAACTTGAACATTGAAAACAAACAAAAACCTGAGAAAATTGGAAAAAAGATACACCGGTTGTTAATTAGCTGTACATTTCGGCAAACTCCTTAAGTATCTTCCATTATCACACGTTTTTGCTGCTGTACCTAATCCGCATGTCGTCTTTCAAGGTAAATACAGATGTTTCTGGCTTACAATTATTTTGAACAACTTTATTTGGTTTAGACGAATATATACTTTGCTTTATAAAATTTTACAAAAAATGGTAAGTGCCAGAACCAGAGCTATACCCTATTCGTAGTCCATTTACGCCCCGGAACAACAAAGATGCAGCGCGGCAAAGCGGCAGCCGCCTAAGCATTGCAATAGCTATTGGTCATTCGGCCTTAAAACTACGAACAGTTGCAGGATTCGTCATGATAGAAGTCAAGCCCGGCACGCCGAAGCCGGCAGTTGCTGTTCATATTCGGTGCATGTTTATGTTATGTATCTTTATACGTTAGAATGTCGTCTACGGATACAGCAGATGAAACTGAGAATATTTCTCCCAATGCTTCCTTCAGCCATAATAATAATAATCATCTATATCGCTTATCAATTGAAGAAAATAATATAAACATGAATAAACAATCGACAATATTAAATAAAAACATGAATTTTGTTCAAAAATCGAACACTTTTCTAAATTTTGATAAACCATATGTAATTTCTTAATATTCAATAAGCTGGTGATGATTCAATGACAAGCTGTCATCTCATACTTTGACAGTACTTTGTTTTCAACATTTCATAGGTACTGGTTTCTAAAATTGGTTGATTCGAACTTGAAGCTCATTCGCTGTATTTGCAGCCGCAGTAGCTACAGCTGTTTTACGAGACGTTGGATTATTAACAGAAGAAAATTCAGTGCAAATAGACAAAAATAAGTTAGGAATAGCTAAAGAGAATATAAGAAATACAATTATGAATTCCATAAAACATCAACCTATGAAAGCAATTTATTTTGATGGTGTCGAAAAGACAAAACATTGACTACTAAAGAAAAAGATGGCAGACTTCGTAGAATAACGTTAGCTGAAGAACATATTACTTTGCTACAGGAGCCAGGTTCAGTGTTTCTGGGTGATCCAATGCCTTCTTCTGGATCAGCGAAACACCTACTTCGATGCATAGTTGACTCCATTCAAGAAGATAAATATAACCTGTCAGAATGGCTGTGTGTTTTTCTTACTGATAAGAAGACGTCCTGATTGTCTAGTCAATGTTTATAGTAGCAAATTCAAAAAATGCCAGAAATTCGTATTTTGGTTTTAATTTTCCTTCCGCATGTTATTCCCGATTGCACTTCTAACGTTCGATTTTCACTTTTTTTAATCTTTGGGTTCTGGTAGGGGGCAGATGACGCATTACAATCGAAAAACTGCTTATAAACATTTTTCTTGGAATAACAAAAAGGCAGCTTTTGCGCACTATTCCAAAAATTCGATTTTTCGGCCCAGACTAGCGTGCAGGTTGAGGTGTCCTGATATCAATCTTCAATATGAAATTGTATAATATCCGGAAAGAGAACCCCCTGAATTATGTGGTCGGAACTTCAAACTCCGTTTTTAAGAAACTTTATTTGGTTCCAACAATAGCGTAGATGAACCGAACCGGAATTACAGTGTGTGTGTGTTCGCTGTGACTGAGATTGAATGACTGACTCATAATTAACCCTGGAGCGCTTAGGCGAATAGCACGGCTATAGTTGCTTAGGCGGGGTTACCAATAACCCCAGTGATATATTCCTATTTAATGAACAAAATATAAAAGATAGACACTTTTGTTTCAATAATAAAACATTTATTTCAAACACTCGGTACATATTTCAACTCGATGATTACTGCAAACAGCCTTGAAACATTTCGGACAGGCAGTTTTTGTTTTTCGGTCATTTGTTCTTGGACATAAAATGCAGCGAGTCTGTTTTAGCAATTTTGCTGGAGGTGGATCAACTTTTTCTTCTGTTTTCATATCTAGAATATCCATTATTTATTCTTTCAATTTTCGAGGCGTTGGTTTTGTCAAACGTCTTTCCATATGAGGCCTGACCAGTTGTAGTCCAAGTTCAAATAGGTATTTTCGACGAACACTTTTTTGTCTATCACGCTTAACAATTTGGAAAATAATGTTGGAGTTAATGCCTGCTTGATCCATTATACCATAAAAAAAGCGTAATGGCCACCTGCGTGTTTTGCGGGATACCGAATATGTGTGCACCATCTGGTCAAAGGTATCGACACCTCCTTTGGTAGAATTGTAAAAATTTATTATCTCGGGTTTTTTATTTTCATCTATTGTACTACCAGAATGCATTGTCGATAAAAGTAGCACAGATTTAGACTTCTTGGGTGTGAAGGACACCAAGGTTTTTTGGTTGTCGAATCCAAATTGAGAAGACATAATTTCTTTTCGTTTGTTTGGGAGAAATGATGGAGGAATTTCCCTCTTGTTTTTTCTGAGAGTACCCACAATGGCCAAATTGTAGTCAACAACCATTTTGTTAGCCAGTGGGATGGAAGTAAACCAATTGTCCATCGTCAAATTGCGTCCGGTTCCGTGAATGGGTTCTGTCAGTTTTCTTACGTAATAAGCTGGGAGAGGTTCTTTATCTGGCCTATTTTCTTTGTCGATATATGGAATAGCAGTAACCATATAATATGTGCGTGAATCACACATCGTTACAACTTTGATTCCATATTTTTCAAGTTTTGATGAAATATATACTCTAAAAAGGCAATTGCCTCGAAATCCCAATAACTGTTCGTCGATGGTACAATAACTGTGAGGAGTATAGTATTTTGTACAGTTAGATATAAACATTTCCCATATATTACGTACTGGAGAAAATTTATCTTCTCGGTCTCTCATGGTTTTGTCGTCAAATCTGAGGCAAGATATCAAAAATCTAAACCTTGTTTCACTCATTACGCATCGATACACTTCTGGTCCATGCTTTCACCACATTTCTGCTGTAGTTAGATGATTGTCTTTTCTACAATATAAAGCAGTCCTGTCAAAGCCAAGATCTCTTCAACGTCTGTCTCGTTAACAAAGCCACAATTAGCAACATATTTCCCTCTTTGTCGTTCTATTTCCATATTTGTATGTACCACTATAATAGCTATAACATTCGCGCTAAAAAATAACTTCCATGCCTCTAATTCCGTTGAAATATTTTTGGCCGCACCTTTTGGTACTGGAATACATGAAACAATGTTTCGCTTAGGTGTTCGAGTACGACATGGAAGCTCAGTGCTCCAAATATGTCCATTTTTTCCTTTTATTACTTTGCCAGGAAGTTGTTCTGTTTCACTCTCTACTTCACTATCATCCATTGAGTAGGTGCTCTCCCTGTCGGACTGAATTGAAACATGGTCGTCATAGTCAGTGCCGTCATTATCTGAATCAGGTTCATTGTCGAGTTCTTCATTCCATCGTAACAGTGTTTCTTCAAATTTGGGATCATCTGGTCGGACAGCCATCTAAATAAATTACGTTATCTAGTGTGTAGAATAAAATAAAAATACCAGCTTAAGCTTACCTGGGGTTACTCGTCACCCCAAACACAAAATATCATATAAACTATTGCACTGAACACAAATGTGCGACCAACAACACACACACTTTAACCTCAAATGAACATAGCGGGATCTCCGATGTTGCCAATTTATGCACAAAAAATTAGTGAACATTTGAATTTTCTTTGGGGTGATGCGAAACCCCACTAAGCATTACAGGGTTAAGATACAATCGTTAATATAGACCAATAGTGATGAGCTAGTAAAAAGAGATACAACGCAACTATTATATCAATTAATAAAGTGTTAAAATACAGCAACATAACTCTTGTTACCTACTTCATGCGTACTGGAGAGAGTAGCAGATGCGCTGAAGATTAGTCTTCATGGTACGGAGACTCCATCTGTTTACGTATTTCATATAGCGTTGATGACATAACCGCCAAGAACGTTTGAAGGGAGTATTTTCATCTAATCCTTGACGTCTTCACTCACTAAGGCACGTTATGACCGACCTCTGAAGACGTCGTCCTTCCATATACAGGATATCTCTTCTCTGCAGTACTGGCAACGCCGTGACTGCATTTACTCTCTTTGGTTGTTTTACCAGATAAGATTTGTTCCCAAGAATTCAGAAATTCGCCTAAATGAAAATGCCTTGCCGCGGCCGAGTGTGATGGACAAAACTTCACGTCGCGTAGCAATGAGATACCATCGTGTCCGATTTATTTTTATTTATTCCGACGACTTTCTGACAACGAGGGAATCTTCGTCGTCAATTATACTTTAAAAGCGTTTCTGGTCGATCTTTGAGTTTTATGTTAAGAATCGCCGGCTTTCTGTGAACTGTCTCTCATCCGAGGCGTATTTTCGATAATCGCATTTTGCGCCTTCTGCTAAGACTAACGATGTCCTGAAAGTTTTGGCGCAAAGTATTTATCGGATCTTTTTTGAAGAACATATTTATTTAAACAATAACTGGTTATCACAAATTACAATTCAATACTGTACTAAACTATACTATCGAATTATATGGAGTGGCCTATTCTGCTCTACCAGATGCAACTCTCTTCGGGTGTTTCTTATGAGTTCCTGGACGGAGTTCAGATCAATTTCTCGCAGTTTTTCGTAAATTCGCCATCTTAATTGTTTTTCATCTCGGGCTTCCCGGCCTCCATGATTAGCCTTCCTTGATAGTAAAGCCCAAAAATCCTCTATTGCGTGAGCGTGACAATCTGAAGCAATTTGGAAAGACAGCTATCAATATAGCACTGACTATTCAAAGTTTCACCCCGCACTCTTCCCAAAAAAGGTTGAGGCACACCCCTTTTGCGCACCAGACAAGGATTCTATCTGCAAATATATAACATTCTCAGGGCATTTCTCTACGTTGTCCGTATAAAATCCGTCGTTTACCTTCATTTCAGAATTATCCAATATTTCATATTGTCTATGCATGGACTTGACTCGGATTTTTCGGTACTTGTACCGAAAAGAGAATATTTACCGTTAATATCATTCCCCACGATTTTTCAAAATAATTTAAATATTTCTATACTTGCCGAAAAAGAGCCGAAACCAAAAATAAGGCTAAAAGAATCGAAAAAGGAGTTTCCAGAATGGTTGCAAAGTTCTTTGAAAGAGCGGCCAGTATGCACATTGTAGAAGTTGTAATATAGAACTATGCCCTCAAAAGTTATGCTGTGTGCTCGCCCAATACAATAACAGACGTTTTTCATGACTCAAATGTCCTTGATCTGCCACTGATCTTGGGACGGCATTTACCTTATACCGAATTCAACGACACTATTTACCGATTCCGTTTTTTTTTGCCGCTTCGGCAACACTGCAGATGTGCACTTCAAAAGCAATCGATATTCCAGACGTGTTATAATAATAGAAATAATAAGAAAATATAACAGTATTTGGAGATATATTTTCATAAATAGGTATTTTTGATTCTGACTTATAATATCTAGACGATGAATAATAGGTGGACGTTTTAGGACCGAGAAATGCAGTGTGTGCTGTTTGTTTACATTTGGTGTGGATTTCTAGATCATCAATTGGAAAAAATTGTTTTTGATGTAACAAAAGATGATGAACCCAGTGTTGCCAGAAGTAGCGGAATTCCGCTACTGGTAGCGGAATTTTCAAGTGGTAGCGGCGTAGCGGCGGAATTGGAATATTTTGTTAAAAGTAGCGGAATTTTGCAACTTAGGTACACATGATGGATATTTTTACCAGAAAAAAAATTGAGTGCAGTTACTAACCAAATCTAAATACAGGTATATTTCCAATCGACAGTGGTAACCACGGGTCGGTAATTCTTATTCAACGGAGACGCATATAGATGGTAGTAGATGGTAGTAGATGGTAAGAACACAATCTGTGAAGTGTATTTTCAAAATATGTCTAATAATTTTAACACTTGCCACATGGTAATACAGATGTCAAGTGGACATTCTCATATATCTATGGGGATAATCAAAACAAACAAAAGGAATCGTATTTTACCTCCAAGTTTGCTCGCGATACTTATCAAACTCGATACAATACAAAAAAACGTTGCTGCTTAGACTTCGAATTTGGTGAAAAACATTTTAAAAAATACAAAAATAATTTATATAGTATACAGAGAACAGAAATACAACAAGAAGATACAGACAGTGACCAGGTATAAGTAACTCAAAAACTTCAATTTTTTTATGCAAATCAGAAATGGCTTTTTATTTTTTAGTATCCTTTGATATTTTTTTAATATGACTGCGTGATAAATGTTCTGTTGTTTGACAGTTATTTGTAATATTGTATTGGTTTTTATAGGTCAAATGTTTTTTATTACAGTTTTATGTTATATTTTATCACGGTATTTGGTTTTTGTTTTCCTTTTTTGACACAACCTGTATAATAAATGCCCCCCTGTTTTATGATAGTGCGCCAACCTCCCTCCCTCCGACGATAATCACCGGGGTAGCGGAAAGTAGCGGAGTTTTTCGATACCAGTAGCGGAATTTTCAATGTTGGCTCTGGCAACACTGGATGAACCAGATAGAATACGTTTTATATTTTTTTTTTGCAAAATAACAAAAATCGGTACATTTCTACAGGTACGTATTATGTACATCACCCTGTACGTGATATACAACACCACATTGCCATGCATGAACAGTCGTCAAAAACAGTGAAAACATCCTACGAAATATAATAGCTAGAAAATCGACCTATTATTTCTCTCATTTTCATTGGTCCATTTAAATAACTGACCGTCTTTTCTGAAATGATAAAAATTTGAAATTCTAAGAAAGTTATCCTAAGTCTAAAGCATAAAGACATAATATTACATCTATAATGTGCCCTTATTTATAAGGCAACCGTTTATTCACGACTCTATTTAACATTTCAAAAGAACTCACTGACATTCAGAGAGCTTTGACGGCTTTGGGAGCTTCAGACATGGTATTCCCTGCTCGGATTCCGCTATTGTTGTGCGTGAAATGTTTTCATCCTGGAATATTCGGCAGATATCAGCTTTGGGTGCCCGCCCAAACAACTTGTAGATACTTGTTCTTATTACTAATTTACGTGACATCTCAAAGCGAAAAATTCAAAATAAATACATGTCAACTGACAGTAATGTAAGTAAACAAGCTTTTGTTTCCAATGGCATCACGTAATTATTTTGTGTTTGTTTAAATTAAAGCCGATGACTTTTATGCCAAATCCTTTAGAACATACGTTATTCTGTTGGACATTACATTCACGTTGTAGTCCGAGATTGTAGTAGCAGATATTTCACGATCTGCGGTTTAGTAACTGACATTTCTGGTTGTTACGAATGACCATTGCCAGACATTCTTCGTTTGTAACTGTATTGTAAGTATTCGTTACATTAAAATCGATTGAATCGTATTTAATTTATAAATAACGAATCACGATTGTTACCAAATACCGTGAAAAAGTACAACGTGATCACGACTTCGTAGTCTAATCATATTAGTCGAAAATGCCCCTGGTTTTCAAGATAATTGTAAAGTCTGGTTTCATTGCTGCAAGTTGTTCAAGAGAGTATTCAAAACATGGACGCATAAAATGGGTACACAATTTTTGAGGGAAAACTTTTTATTCGACAACAAACAATGAGAAAATGAGACCACAGGTGAAAAGATCCAACTGATAGCAAAAAAGTTATGGCACTTGCTGGTAATGTGACGACGGTTTCTTGCAAATATGTGAAATTTTTCAAATTCGTAGGATTCGTACTTCTAAATAACCACAAGGAAATTGGAGTAGATTGGTCAAGTAGGTTTTGAAAATGTCTGACTGTTTACCCCAAAACACCTATTTTCCAGCTATTACTACTAGTTTATTGAGCAATATACAGGGTTAGTTTAAAGTGCAGTTTATAGCAAAGTTGGGGTTTTCCTTTTCAGAAACAACTGCCCATGAAATAACAAAGGTAATGTGTAGTGAAACGAGGGCGACCAAGTAAAAAAAAAATAAAGGAAAAAGTACTCACTCTCCAGTTGTCGAGAAGGGCTAACTACGTCTCTGCCTGAAATCGAAAGTTATTCACCCCATTACGCGTGAACGTAGATTCGTCTATCACCAATATGCACTTCAAAAAGTCCGAATTATTGTCATGTTGATGCAACAACCACTCACAAAACCGCACTCTTGCTGGAAAATTGTCAGGTTGAAGGGCTTGTACACGTTGGACGTTTGCCACACTTTAGTTTTTGATACTTGCACTTCTCTAGCCACGTCTCTAGTGCTTGTTGAGGGATTCTCGTCTACGCGATTCAGTAGTTCTTCCTCAACTTGCACCATTCGTGGTTGTCTAGGCCTCCCACTGTGCCCACCTCGAAATTCCTCCAAATGGCCCGTATCCCTGACTCTCAGGACCAGGTACACAAATCTGCGGGGCCTTGGATGATGTCGTCTAGGGAAACGATCTGCATACA